CAAGCTGCTAAAAGTTAGCATGATTGAGCACACAAGGTTTGTTTATCCGCATACATCATCTATCATCTCGTTTTATGGAGGTTTCATCTAATTTTTCTTTTGAAAATTGTTTGATTCCATTCGCTTCAATTAAGATCAACCAACAACAATAACGACAACAACAACAACTGAAATTCCCTTGTTAATGTTTGAATGATAACGACGAATCATCGATGATGCATTAATTCAGACTTACTGAATTAATTTTCAAAACCTTCAATGCTCAAAACTATGAGTACTACCTGTCATCCATATACCGACTGCATTCACATTGAATATTTGCTACTGAAATCACGTAAAGAACAAATACGTGTTTAATATCACTGCTACTACCGAACACAACAGATGCTATCAAAGTAAATCGCCCAAAGCAAAAATGTAACCTTCCCCGAGAATGCAAACTAAATAGAACTGCTACTCGTGACATGAGAACGTATAAATTGAATGAACAAAGTTTTATTATTGAATTAGAACTTCATTCATTTCCTGCAACATCCCTCTCAAGCAGACACCTCAAATGTGCTTCTTCATTCGAGTCACCTCAAATTCAACATCGCTTTCTTAATGTCAGCTCGTAATAATAACCAACGCTCAATGCATCAAAGCATTATTGCTCCTTTGGGAGTAATAATCTTTGATACTCATAAATGAACAAACACAAAAAAGAACGACGATAGAATAAATTTTCGTTGCAAAACAAAAGCAGAGCAATATTTTGGTGAGTGAGCATGCTTCGTTGAGAATCAAGTATCATGCATATTATAGCTGTTTAGCAAGTCATCAGGCTCTGTCTGGGCTAATTGTGCAAAGAAAAAGTTTGAACAAATTTTGAATTATTAATTGTAAATGTTCGCCCTAATTTTTGTACTGACTATTTGAACGAAATTTTGGATAACATTTAGCTTGTACTATGCAGCAATAAACAATGATGCTTTCTTAAAGGAAGTCAAATTTATGTGTATGAAGCGAAAGGAATGAGTGAACATGCTTTTGTTTTGTTGTCACAACAATACACAATGCACATCAACATGATTTTTGCCTTAGTTCTATTGAAAACAATCATTTTGATGCATCAATCTCAAGTGAAATAGGTTTATGAATGTGTGAAGATACTCGTAAGCCGTTGCATTATTGCATTACATTTAAGATAGATGTGAAAGTCTAATAATAAGTTCCCAATGGCAGAGGATCGAGCAGATTTGTGTGAAGGCAGGAAGGGATTTGCAATATCATCATTACAAGTAGGATTAGAATTTATTGGTTGGAAACCTCACATTTTTCGAATAGAAGCTGCCAGTCGTCGCTGACTATATATAATATTATATTATACATTACGTACATCAGTTATACTGATCTTTTAGGCAGAAACCTTTGAAGCCTTGATTATAGTGTGTGAATGTGTGATGACAATACACAATATACATCAACGAGATATAGAAGACCAATAACGTAGGATTAATCAGTTTCGTCAACTCGAATTTACAGGAATTCAATTTTATGATTCCACTTAAATACAGAATTAGAAGGTTTTTTAAAATTCTTCCTGCTTATTTCACAATCAGTAGGTTCGTGCTTTTATGAAGCAATCAAGATTAGCTCGTTAAGGTATATCAAAATTGATTTTCTGATTATCTCATGATCTGCTATGATCTAGTCGTTGGAACATTAGAAGACGTCGGACTAAGAAAGCGATAATCTTGTCATTAATATGGAAAAATATTCACGGTCAGTATGCAATGGAATGTTCAAAAATTTCACAGTCAATTAGGAAGAATGCTTCTTCGTACTTCATTTCCATCAAAGTCTAATAATAAGTTCCCAGTGGCAGAAGATTGAGCAGATTTGTGTGAAGGCAGGAAGGGATTTGCGATATCATCATTACAAATAGGATTAGAATTTATTGGTTGGAAATCTCACATTTTTCAAATAGAAGCTGCCGGTCGCTGCTGACTATATATATTAAACATCACGTATATCAGTTATACTGATCTTTTAGGCAGTATACTGATTATGTATACTGATTTACCCACGATATAGCAATGCATCCATACAAATAAGCACATTTATCGTATGCGAAAAATGTGCTTATTCGTATGGATGTATTGCTATATCGTGGGTAAATCTGATGCACTCGAAAAAAAAAGTTTTATTTGTGAGATTCACCGATAACAAACATTTGTGTCATTGATAATCAATAAGGATATCCATTTATCGACTTATACCTCATCGTTTATCTTGAACCTTTTTTGATGCTAACTTTGACTTTGCCATGCGCCACGCAGCCGATATATGATGGGGCGTGTCGGTAACAGAAGCATGACAATAATGATGGCTGTTTACTTTACTCTTTCCAGAGGCTATCTATTGACAGATGATGGCTTTATGCAAACGATACTCTAATAACTTCTGACTGCTGATGGTGCTGAGAACTTTAAGCTCGGCGAGATAGACTCGAACTGAATATGAAAGTGTGCTTTGTGAATCCAATTTTACATCAGTGAAATGATCATCTTACTGAAGAGTTGTTGTTTCATTCAGTTCTTATTCACTTCCGTGCTTTCTTCATCTTCTGATATCGTCGTGAGTTTTGTTCTTTTTATCAGTTTTTTTTTTTTAAATTTTGATTCCCTTGATCAACTAAGTTTCTCGAATTCCCGGATTTTTTCATGATCTTAGCGGTACTGAAGAGTTATGATGAGTTCTAGGAGATATGTAGATTCAGTTCCTGGAAAAGTTTAGTATTGATTCGATTAGGGGTTGGTTGATATTTTGCAGAGATTTTATTGTCTCTCAAGAATGCTTCCGTTCACTTTAAGGTCATCATTTGCTCTTTCTGAATTGTAATCCCTCGTTAAAGGCAGCAACCTTCCACCTAGATTATTCCACTGAATACTATGCTTATGGTTCATTGAACCTTTACAATATATGCACAATGAATTTATTGCTCTTGGATGCACATCGCTGAGATAGCCACACTGCAAGTTCACTTCACTCAACCAAAACTTTATTTCGTAACTTTCAAACGGATCTTATTTGCTTTCAAATGCTGCAAAGTTATATCATACACTTATGTCAACGAATATTATCACTTCATTAACAAGCTCAAATTCAACGTTGATTCGATAAAGCATTCAAGCATTGTGGCAAGTGAGTTCAGTCAGCATGAAGTGATCGTAAAGCTTCTCCACAAATCATCCTTAAGATGAACTTATCTTCAGTGCACTCTTAATCTCGAGTCTATAGGGTATTCTAAAAGATCGGAAATAGAATTGACTTTTCAAATTATACTCTCGTTCATCCAATCCACTCGACCAAGTATGTCGCACAAATTGATAGAGTAATTTGGACATAATTGTTCTTACACACAAATAAGCATTAATTTTCGATGAATTTTTCAATTGAACCTTCCATTCACTATACATATTCATGTTTCTGCGTTGAATCTCGCGGCACGAAATCTGTCCGGTAGCTTCATTTAAGAAAACACCCTAATGGTCGTCATGAGAAACTTATTATTATTCCCGACTCCAAATTCATTTTCCCATCAGTAAATTATTCCCATTCAAACTAATGATCCACCTTCAAAGAACGACCTCAACATGTGAATGAGATCCACAAATTTTGAAAACCTGATTATACAATTTAATTTGCATTGATTCGTTTAATTTAATTGAATGAATGGCAATGCCTGCATAATAATAGTCCTTGCATAATGTCACACAACATATCTGACTGTTCAATTTTTTAATTTGTGTATCTGGTATAGTAAAAGTTCATCTTATCTGTCTTTGGGCAAATATCACTCGTTGGTCGCATTTGCTAACTACCGCCGGTGGTTAGAAAATAACTCAAACGTTCACATGACCTTATCAGCTGCCCTTTTCATTACAGCTGAACGCTCACATTAGTTCTCCATGATGACATTCATGCAAGTGAACAATTCCTGTTCTCCTTGAATAAATTTGCATAAGGTTCATGCAGATTAACATTCAGCATAAGTAGCATATTCAAGCAAATAGCATCTGAACATGCTTTTTCGAAAGTATCAACTTGCAAACTGCTCAGATCATTTGTTTTCTTTTTCCTGAACGATAGTCAGATCATTTTTTGTCTTGAAAAATTGTCAATGATGTCATTAATCGCTGCTTATCCACCTACTGATTACAGAGTTTCATCTCGAAATCCGATCGTGCCATGCAATATTACCCAGGCAACACCCGTAATCATGGATTGTAAGTATTTCCGCAGTCGTTTTTATCACACCTCACAGTCAATTTCATATAATCACTATTCAGCGATTCCGATCGTACATTCGCTTTCAATAGCCACATCAAATAACGTCGCGATGATATTTCTGTGTAATTATAGTAATTCGGCATTAAAATGTCATGCATTCATACACAAACTCGCTATTCAAACGAAGTGCTCCATGATCAGTTCCATGCTCTATGTGAGACTCTTTCGTTGGATGCGAGGCATAAAACTCATATGGCACGTCATTTTGTTCGGTGCATAAAAACCGAACATCCGTCGAAGGGCACCATTAATGACAGTTTTCAACGATAGCATTAAGATGAAAGTACTCTCTCAAAAGCCGAGGCTTCCAAGGGCTTAAGCCTAATCGTTGGCTGAAGTTCGATTGAATTTGAATTTTTCTTGACTGAATTTGCTTTGCCTAGATATCATTTGATGCTTCGGCCGAGACCTGCTCAGATTCAATTCATGTTTCNNTTTTTATATGTGCCATTTGGTAGAAAGCAGCAAAAAAAATATAACACAAGACTTCAGCACTTTAGATTTAATGGAATGAATATTTTTTGTTAAAGATGCTCAATTTTGAAACAAGTACTACAAAACCAGTACTTTCAGGTGTTACTAACCGATCCTTATCAATAACCTAATCAAAAGTCATGCAAAAAACTCCGTTTAGGAATCCCATCTACTATCTTATTTCATTGACAATGTTCGACGCAGCATGGTGCAGAACATACTCGATTATTTTATTTTCATATGTGAAATTCACGTAAGAAAAATTAAATCCGAAAATTCGTTCCAGCTTGAAACCTCAAATAGTGCAACATAAACTCGAGAGTAACGTCAGTCGGTTATTGGACCAATTGATCGCCAGTCATGATCGTCGAATACGACCCAACTATGGCGGTAATTATTCTCATTTTTATTGACTCCAGCAAACTCATTTCGATTCCAGTAACGATTTCTTGTTGTAAATATGATTTATGACTTCCATTCACATCGTCACATTACATACTTCCAGTAGTAATAAAACCATAAGTAAGGTGCATGATTTTGAATGATTCTTTTACCAATTGCTGCATCTCAATAATTCATACTTTAATGCTTGAATGGTGTATGTTTCCATTCATCTGCGAATTTTACTGCCTAGATAATGCACAGTGATTGTGTCCAAGCTTCGGCATGCATGGCTAGGAGCAAATTTCAACTGTTATTCCACTCCCCCTCCCTAACTTACCGTTCCATGAATAACTTGAACCATCGTAACAAAACACAAAATGTGGAATCACAAAATGAACTTACCTCCCAATAAATTGATTGATTTCATGAAGGAACTGAATTTTTTGATAAATTGTACGGAACAAAAGCTTTGAGAGATAGCAATTTGATCCATCAGAGAGCATCCGCAATCAACGATAATGATACCTCTCAGGGGTATTTAGCAAAGCCACCGTGGATAAGCAATAAAAAATATTTCAAAACTACGAAAATCCTAAACAAGCTTGAAGCAATTTCTTATCGATTGTGCGCATTTGTTTAAACCAAATGCTGAATTTTCAAAAAGTTTGTCCACCTGCAGAACAAATTCACAGAACTGATTCAAGTTTTGTCCGGCGGCTCGTTGAGTCTTGTTGAATTTAATTGAATTGAAAAACTAACAGCTGTGTTGCTCAACTGAACTTTTGTTTATCACCCAACTTGTATTTATTGCATATTTTTTATGATAAACAACCGATTCAGAGTGAAACTTATTCGTCCTTTGTGAAGATTATGGAAGGAAGTGAAAAAAGAAAGATATTCAATCTTAATGCATCATCACTTCTATTCTAATTCAGCAAAACAGATTAATCTTCAAGAGTTTATCATGAGTGTGTGCGAAAAAATGAGCGGCCTTTATGCTTGTCTCAATTATGTAAGTCGTCTGAACACATGGAAACTGATTGCTGATANAAAAAAAATCCAATGAAGTAAGGTGCATCATAAAAGATATCTTCAAACAATGTCTAAGCTACTAAAAATTCACGTTCGCATCTTTCATCAATCATGCTGGCTATGAAACACGAAATACGACGCTCTTCAGTCAGACGATTCATTTCAGGCCCACCAATCGAAGTGAACGTTACGGCACATATAACAACAATTAGTGCCATTTCAGAGGTTTCAATGGTGAGCGCAGCCTTCTGATCATTTGTCAAATGCCAAACTGAAATTTTGCGATTACGATCACATTTTTGGTTTTCTTTGCCATTCCTGAACGTTATCATATTTTGGCGAGAAACAAAACAAGTCATCGTCATTAACGTTTTTGGGATGGATGCTTGGTCAATTTGTTTTGAATTAATCTGAATAAACCACATGAATTGAATTGCTCGATCGGGAAGTAATCATCTTATGACGCATACAAAACAGCGGCTGAGCACTTTTTGTATGGGCTATTTGGCTTTGCCATAAATAACATTTGAGTATTTAGCGGGCATTCAATCGAATTGCTCTACCGTGAATTGAATCAAAACGTTGAATAGACTGAACAATAGTGCGCATAGGCTGAAAGCTCGAAGTTTCGCCTTTCATATGCGTTAATAAGTTCTGAATTCAGCCGGAGATTATTCACTTAATCTCCGGCTGAATTGGCACAATCTCACGATGGAGTGTTCATAGATCAAGCATACATCATAACTCACAATTCAAAAGGCTCACAATTCTTAAATTCGATTCGATCAAATGCCTTCTACTAGGAGATCGAGAAGATACTCATAAATGAAGCATATTTTAAGGATTACACGCTTGATTTGTATTTGCGACAGTTTTGGCAAGACACAAGGTTGGCGTTCAGAAGTGATGATGAGTCGTCGTTGACAATAGGCATCGATATGGTAAAGAGCATCTGGACACCGGATACGTTCTTTCCCAATGAGAAGAAGTCGTTCTTTCACGAAGCAACCTCACACAACTCCTTTCTTCGTATCGATAACAAAGGCAATGTTCTAAGAAGCATCAGGTTACAATCATTTCACATCATTTGCTTATTTACCCNTCACTGCTTATGCATAACATTCAAAATCTCTTGTCTATGAATTTTCAAACAAGTGAATGAAATTACTTTCAGATTAACGGTCACGGCGAATTGCCCGATGAATCTACATACGGTAAGTTCAAAGTTGATAGCATCTCATTAACATCTCATTAATAAAGCATGAATAAATTATTGCTTGATGACTTGTGAATATGTCATCGAAATATTCTGTCAGAGAATATTGATGATTTCCGAAGTCAGAGATAAAAAATTCAGCCATGAATAATTCAGAAATGAATAATGAGTTGCTTTGAAAAGTATTTGATAAAGTTAAATTTCAGTTCCCATTGGATGTTCAAGTGTGTGCCCTCGAAATTGAGGTTCGTTATTTTTTATCTTTTCCATCTTTTCGGTTGTTACATTATATCGAAGAGCTGTTATTGAAATATTTGTTTTTTATTTGAATGAAACCTTAATTGAGAGACAAAGATGTATTGACCGGATATAACTACTGCATATGTACATCCTCAGAAATAAGCATTCGTCGGTGCATAATGAATGAAAATGACTATTTGAGAGTTATGGCTACAGCACCAAGGATATCATCTATCACTGGCATCAAGGTGTCAGTTCGGTGACCATTGACGAAAACGTACACCTGGCTCACTTCACTATCGGTGGACATTCACACGTTGAGCGCGTTATTTCACTTAGCACTGGTTTGTGTCCAGCTTCACTTGATTATTCTCTAAACATAAGCCATCTATACATCGAAAAATTCATTGCCCTGCGCAACAACCATAATATTGTCACAAATGTGCATAAAATTTGACTTATCAATTGTTACTGCTTTAGTTGATCGCTTTCGAAATCATGAAAGCCATGAACGAGCTACAGTCTTTTTTTTTTCAAATTGTCAGTATGAACGGCGTAACAATAAATTTTAGGCAACTATTCACGTCTTTCAACATACTTCACATTTAAACGCAACATTGGTTTCTATTTGATTCAAATATATTTTCCGTCCTCGTTGATCGTTGTCATCTCGTGGGTTTCGTTCTGGCTTAATCGTGAGGCTACACAAGCCAGGGTTGCGATCGGTACTTTTTTGTGTTCATTGTATGATTTTGATGATAAACTGATTCGTTACGATCCGACATCGTTGAGTTCACGACTCATCAAAGAGCAATTCCAGGAGTGACCACCGTACTCACGATGACCACACTTATGACCTCAACAAATGCCTCGTTACCTAAGGTCAGATGGTTCACTCATTAGAAGATCAATTTCACTATTACACCGGAATGATATGATGATTACTTTCTTATCATCAGAGTTTATTATAAAAATAACGGAATTTTTGAAATTCTATATTTTTGGATTCACCACTTAAAGAATTTATGTTTGCGAATAAAAATTGCTAACTGTAAGAATAAGAACACATGCCACATTTGAAACTCAGGTAAAAGACAAACAATTGATCCATTAGAGTAATGGATTAAGATCGCATTACCACCACGCACACATATTGAATTTCTTTGTGAAGTCCTATCAAATGCTCGGATGTTTGTGAAGTTTGATCGCAAAAAGCAACTCTCCTCTTTGTTTGTAACAAAAAACTTTTGTCAACAAATGTTTCAAATTTCAGCTGTTGGGAATTTTCGTCAACAAAATATCCGTTGAAATTTTCATCATCAAAAAAATTAAATGAGGAACACTTAGGTATAATGAATATCATGCGATACATCATGTTATGATAGACGTAGAATAAATGCTTTTATAAATCAAATCCAGAAACAAGTTTTGAAATTCCTTCTTTCAGGTCTCTTATGTGAAAAGTCTTGACATATTTCTTGGCGTTTGCTTTTTCATTGGTAAGATTTTTGAAATGATTTGAAGCATTTCGTTTCATCCATTTGTGCTTATGATTCCGAGGGTTTTCCCTTCGCTTTCAGAACACTTATCCTTCAGATGAGGCGAATGAATTGTGTACTTCAATCATATCTCGAAATGAGGGGAAAAGTCGGAATATTGTTGCACAAAAATGATATTTTAAAGAAGTGATAATATTTTGAGTGTTCGCATCATTGTTGGAGTACGCTGCGATTGGGTACTTGATGAAACGTTCGCGTGGTTATATAAGACGAATGAAGCAACAGCCGTCGTGCTACTACGAGTTAGAGGAGCAGTCTCCTCCGGTCCGCTCCAGGGCTGTCACGGTCAGAAAGAAGCGACGGAAACGTGACACCATACTTCAGGTAGATTTTTCAGCTTCTGAAATTTTTAGCCATGTTCTACAAATGGATCATATTCCTAAAGTTTCATTTTGTTCTTGCAGTGTAAAAATCAGAGAACCCAAAAATGTTCCAATCAAATGAAACGTTTAATTGAAATAAGCCTTAAAAAATTCCAGATGCAAATGGAATCGTATACAGATCAGTCAATGCCACTGCTTCAATCAAATCATTCCACACTAAAATACAGCGTTTCTCCTATAACGATAGCTTCAAACGCTAACAACAATATTAGAGTGCCTATAGCTATGAGGATAAGGCCGTCACAGGTGCAAAACAGCTCATTCACGTCGATAAATATCAGCTTCTGCACTCGATACCCTCTTAAATGAATGCATGATTTTTGATTAATCAACAAAATTCTGCTTCCTTCGAATGATTTTTGTAGATGGAAAAACGAAGACTACCCCCAGTGAGATGATTAATTCATGCCTACGAGTGGTTTTCAAACTAATATGGATACATTTTCAGGTCGATCTCCTCTCTCGGATTATCTTCCCATCATTTTTCATGGCTTTTCATCTAGTATACTGGTCGATTTATTTGAACCTCTGATGATAGTGTACATAGTGAATGTTTTATATGAATGCAAATTGTATGAATAAATGTGTTTGTGTTATGAATTCGTGCTAACATACTTCATTGCACATTCTTTTTTTATTACTGTAGGAATATCATTTTAACCATTTTAACATTTTTTTAATATGGTACACAACACAATAGCCTAACCATAGAATTCACCTTTAGGACTAATTATATCTCATGAACAAGGCATTATCCATCGACAATATATAATTTAAGATAAATGATAGTCCGCTGCATCCGACTATGTACTCGCATGGAGATTTTCTATGGGGAATGTAAACTTCTTAAAACCGTTAATTTGATCCATCGAAAATTCCTTCTGGTTCAAGAACAAACTGTGCAAAATTGCAGCAACTGAATTTGCTTGAAAGGTCACTGAGCCCATTTCTGAGAATAAGAACAACAAAATAATGTTTTACCGAACTACAAGGTATAACGGATACAACGGATATGGTTTTCCTCTACGAAATTTTCTTATTCTTATCCTTCAAAATATTCCTACCTCTTTGTCTCTCTCGTATTTTTAAACAACAACGTTTCGAGATTTACTCAAAGGACACACGACTGTTTTCTTAACTGCTTATATGAACAGTAACAAAATCTTGGTTTTATAACATTCATCAGCATTCATGGAGCACTTGGTTGCCGATTTCCAATATTCTTAGCAAAAGAAATTTCCGTCTGATTCAGTTTCCTCGGAATCAGTGCCATTTGACACGATTCGATAGGCTAATCTTGAAAACAGCATCACTTTGTACCGCTCCATGAGTTGTCCAATTAATCCGTCAACTAATTGTAAGTCAGAAACCGTTTCTAGCCGTTACTAGTGTAGCGCTTTTAGAGATCAAACGAGCACGAATTCCCAACTATGTTTATCTCTTGAATACTTCTATAAAGCTAATGATTTTTTTTNTTTTTTTTGCTAACTTTTATGATGAATTCGAGGGAAGGTAGAAACATGATGGTCGACTTGTTTCCAAGCAATAATCGATTATCAAAGTAATATTTTTGTAGTGTAACTGTTTTAAGACTGATTAAAAAGTTTCTGAAATGCACCTCTTGGTCACCAGTTCGCCGTTACGATTGAGTTGTACTGATAAAATCCAAGTTTTTCGAGACTAATCATTTTGAAACTTCTGATAATTATTTGTCATGGTAGAAGATAGTTGGTCTCAATTTAAAGGTGTCTCAATGTCTCAATAAAATAAACAGTTTTGTTCACAATCACCGACCCAAATCGAAACTTACTTCGATTCCCTTCTTGTGGTTCATTCGCTGAGATTTGTTACATGAATATAAGACGATCTCAATTGCGCTTGTTGCGAAATGTCCACTGCTCATTTCCGCCTTGAGCACGATGTGGCACTCTGTCTAATCGGGTTGATTATTTCAATTAATGGCAATTTTTTTTCACAATTAAGTTTAATGGACGTTACGGGTGGTCATCTTTGGAAGTTTTTTAAGAGAAGTTAAATGGACACCAGTAGAAGTTTTAAAACAGTGTATATGCCGATGGTTTATTAATGCATGCAGTCTTAATATTTCCTCGCAATTACATGCTTCAAAAGATTTCTTTTTCACATAATTAGTTAGCATCAGGAGTTAACATTTTTGTGATTGGATATTACGAATTTCTGAAGCATCATGATTTGATCTTTGTTGACCTGTGTTTGAGGTAAATTGGATAGTCCACTCTCAGTTATTAAGATTACACATTGGCTTTCGTAGAAAAATTTTTTTGGCATTTCTGTGGATTTCGCAACACAGATTATTGGTTTGTTTAATTCATGTGACATATTTGAATTAATTCTTTCGAAGGGAATTCAACGAGAAGGAACATGTGGAAGATTAGATAAAATATCAGACGCATCATCACTTCAAAACACAGCCAAATTATAGAGCACCTCCATATCCTCGTCGATCTCGTAATGCTTCCAACAATTGCACATTTCATGTTGTCTGTTATAGGTCCAGTAATCTGTTGTAGGCATTATCTCGCAGAAAGGTTCATGGTTAAGCCACTTCATAAAATTACGCTTATATTAGGAAAAACACGAGTGAGTGAAGTTTAAGGCTTGTTTTGAGTCGAATGAAAATCTTAGTGCTGGAATGTAACTACAGAATGACCGAAGTCTAAGTTATTCCATGCCTGTAATAAATTTACGTTGATTTTGAAAGCATAATTTGAAGCACATTCAATTATTCGAGTTGCTTTGATGAATATCCAAGTTTCGCGCAGTTACGTTCGTGAATTGTTTGAGAGAAATCATACACGATGCATATAAGCTGATTACAGGGATAAGTCGGTGGTGGTGTATACTGAGCGTTGATTCGGTATACAGTTAGCCACTTTTATAAATAAGGTAGAGCAGAGGAAGATCATTGGAAAATGTCCGAATTTATCGATAATCAGGCCGAAGAATCCGAACATTCTGGTGAAAGCACCCCAGAGGAACACTCAGCTGACGACGATGACGATCTTGATATGCAACCAAAAGCGAAACGAGCTCGTAAACAGAAGAAGGCCAAAGCCAAAAAGAAGAAACGTCTAGCGAGGTTCATTTTCAGTTTGAATTCACCTTGCATTTGCATATTCACTTGTTCGCAATTGGATATAAAAACACGCATTTCTTCACTCCAACCCTTAAAATACTCAAGAAAAACTCTGCTCTAGCTCAGGTTACCTCTAAGTAAAGACTATTCGGTGGTCATGGCTAAAATCGCGACATGAATTCCTTCAAGTAGATGGAATTTCTGCTAAGTTTCCATGAAACAATTTCACAAAGACGGGAGAAATTTTGAGTGTCCAAGCAGTGTCGTTTTAAAGGGAACCACATCGATACTGGTTGATAATGGATCAGATTTTGTTTTAATCGATGTGTTTATAGTGATGACGATGATGAAGATGAGGATGTGGAGGATGACGAGGCAAGAATCAAGAAGGAAATGGCTGGATTTGTGGTCGATGAAGACGTTGACGAGGAGGATCAAGAAAATGATGATGTATCTTTTGTTGAAATCCTTATTTATTGCAAACGTCTCTCTGTTTCGTACATTTGAATATCTCATTTAGAGAAACATTTGAAATTTCGAAATTGGTGTAGTTATCGTCGAAACGAACAAATTTTGATTTCGTACGACGTTCGAATTTTGTGTGTTTAAGTGTTTCGTTAAATAACGATTCAATGGGAAAAGAGAATGGTTTCATTAAAGGATGACGACGATGATAAGAGTGATAACGAGAAAGATGACGATTTGGAATTGGACGATGAGGATCTGGATTTGTTGAATGATAATTTGGATATTCAACAAAGACCGTCTGGTGGACGGGTCGTGATCGAAAGTGATGAAGAGGAAGACGATCGAGAACGCATCAAGAATAACCTCTTTGCTGGGGTCGGTTCATTTGTCTCTTCTCGTTCATGCTTCCATTTCAGTGCATTCAGCACATGGTCATTATCCGTGTACATGTACACCTGAAGCAAAATAAAACATTGATTAGTGACTTAATTCAAGGATGAATTTGGTGATGAAGATGAGCATCATGAAAAGGAATCGGAACGAAGCAGAGATCGATACGATAGAGGTGACGAAACGGGCAGTGAAAGTGGCAGATCAGGTAGCTTTCTTGAATTCACTCCGTTGACGGAATATTTTCAGAGAATGTATTTGAATCTCTAAAAAATATTCATTATTTTGGAATTGGGATGTGATATGCTATGAGTGATAGTAGTACCCTATTGCTTTTATCGTTTGGAATTGGATATCATAAAAGCATCTCTAAGTAGTCGTAATTTCATAAATTACAAGTGATGATGATTTTAGAAGATGATTTTATTGTAACTGACGATGGTCATCAAATACGACATCGTCAACGTCGCAATCGAGTCACGGATGTGCCCGAACAAGCGATGGATGAAGCAAGAGATATATTCGGTGTTGATGATTTTAACTTCGAGGAGTTTTATGATGAAGATGCTGAGGTGAGTGAATGGGCGTTTCATCGTTTCACGTTCAAGAAATTGTTGTGACGGGTTGGTGAGACTTTTGCTTGCAGCCAGGCGACGAGGAAGAAGAGTATCCGGAAGAGGAGGATCGTGATGAAGGTGAAGGAGGCACTGGACGGGTTCGACGTGTTAAAACCAAAGAGAAGAAAGCCACTCTTTTGGATACCATTGAACCAGCAGAACTTGAGGAAAAGCTCCTGGCACCTCGCGATAAACGAATCCAGTTGGAGGACAAACCCGAAAGATTCCAGGTTTGTCATTGTTCTCTTTTTCTCTGCATCAATTTTTCTGTGAAGTGATAAGTCTATGTCCAAATAATTTAATGATTATAAATTTAATGACCATATTGATAACAGCTGTGATTTTCTCATATCGTTATAAGTATCATTTCTGATTGAGTTATGAAGATTTCAGCTGAGAAGAGTGGCTGTCAGTGAAGCCGATGAACACGAACTGGAATTGGAATCGAAGTGGATTTATCAGTATGCGTTTGATAACGCCACTCTTTCAATACAGGTTAGTTTTGTGAGTTGAGTAATCGCTTGAGTAATTGATTGATTAGTTGTTGTTGATCGATACAATTAAGATGTCGTGTGATTCGATTGAAAAGACTTCATTGTCGGGGAAATAATCGCAAGTTGAGTGAAGTATCATGAGAGTTGGTTACGTTGAATGCAGACTTATGCTTTCGTTTCAGGAAGAATGCTGTTTAACATTGTTGGCACGTGCAGAGCATAGTGATGACGAGCGTCGGAGGATATCGAAGGAGGCACCTGAGAAGATTAAAGAAGCACTCAACTTTATTCGTAATCAATTGTTTGAGGTGATGGTGGTTATTATTGTTATTGTCAATTATTTCCTATTCGATATTACTCAATTCGTTTTTGTTTTACAATTCGTACATTTGTTTTGCATTTGAAGGTACCGTTCATTGCGTTCTATCGTAAAGAATACGTTGAATCATGTCTTGTTATCAACGATCTTTGGAAGGTTTACCAATGGGATGAGAAGGTGAGTCTCATTCTCCATTTTCAACAGATCTGAGCCGTTCATCGATATGGGTATATTTATTTGAGATTTACGATAATATTCAAAAGTTGATACGCATATGAATTTTATGCATCTTATGTTCTGCAAATTGTTCGTCAGTGCTGATCGAAAGTGGATTTTTTCACAAATGAAAATGAATGTTGACGATTTGTTTGGGATTGTTTGATCGGATTTAATAAATGATATATTTCAGTGGTGTCATTTGCAACAGCGAAAGAAACGTTTATTGGAACTGATGAAGAGAATGTTAAATTATCAAATGGAGAACGATATTACCCCAGCGTTGAGGGTTGTCACCGAGCAAGACATGAATGAGTTCGTTTTTTGTTGAGTGTTGACATTTGGTCTGTCATAACTGAACTCTGTGAATATGAAGGCTTATTGCGGCACTTGATTAATAATTGTGGCTTTTTGACTGTAATCTCCGTTGCGCTTTTTTTGCAAATTGCATGCAGCACACAAGAACAACATTCTTTCCAATAGTTAATTTTTTATCCAGTGTTAATATAGAAGAAAAAAGTATGTGGAGGAATTGTTGATGAGTCATTGATGGGATTCAGAATGGATGACCGTTGAATTACGTTCGTTTATATCATTGCAGAGTTCATGGAGTTCAAACAGTTGAGGGTTTAATGGATGTATCGGCCAAATTTCAACTGTATTATGGACCTGAGGTGCCGAAAATGATTGATTGGGAGACGATACAAAACATGCACGAAGATGACCCAGAACGTGAGGCTAGAGATACGAGATTCAGAGCCGCAACTCGAACTGATAGGTATATGGTGAGTTGCAGTTAATTGTTTGTGCGGAGGTTTCAATCGCTATGTTCGTGATTTCATTAGTTATCAATTGTTCCGTTGAACAGTTATTGCAACTGAACTGTTTGAAAAATAGAATCACAACAAGGTTTTGGCGTTTGAGAATAGTTGTTGAATACTTTGACGTGTTTTTCAGCTATGCATTCAAAATGGCATCGATGCATTGGCGGCACGTTTTGGTTTAACTCCACAGCAGTTTGCCGAGAATCTTGAGTGGAAACGGCACGATGTGATACAGGATGAGGAAGAACCGTTGAAAGCGGCCGANGCAAAAGCTATGTATACAAATGCTTTATTTTGATGATCGAGCGAATACAACAGACCTTATATATGTTAGGAGTTTTCCGACGCCTGAATCGGTGCTAGCTGGAGCCGTGCACATAGTGGCGAAACAGCTGAGTCGTGAGCCAAAAGTGCGTGAAATGGTTCGCATGCGATATCGTCTGAGATTACGAATAAGTGTTAATCCGACCAAAAAAGGCAGAGAGGAAATCGACGAAAATCACAAACTATTCTGTAGGAGGTTGGTGATTTGTTATGGTTGTCGATGAATTTATTTTAATTCGGTATCAACTGAAACTGTTAAATACTGCAGTCACTATGCTATCATCGGGTGTGGGCATATTTCAGGTATATAAAAGACAAACCAATCAAGGAGCTACATCATGATGAATATCTTTGGTACATTCAGGTAATTAATTGCCTCACTAATTCGTTCAGTTACTGAATGGTTTTCCTTAGATCGAATGGTATGAGGGAATATTTATCATTGTGCAGGACTTGGTTATTAGGAGTCTTGATATGTGCGCTGTTTAGTGTATCGTGAAAATCGGATATTTTTCATGGCAGTGGTAATTTTACGTTCTGGATGTGCTTGAACCATGAAAATTTGTTTTCATTTTGAGGCGAAGAATGCGGGTTTATTGAATGTACGATTGCACTGTGACACAGAAGATGATATACGGATTAAGCGAACGTTTGTCAGTGATTTCTTGGAAACGCAACCATACCATAAGTTAGTTTTCGAATGTCGTTTTCGTTTGGTATTTGCAGAACTTATTGTTGGAGGTGGGCTTCAAAGTTTTTGAACTGTCGAATGTAATTCTTAATGATTAATTTCAGAGATGAATTCTCGAATGTAGTTGAAATGTGGAATAAGGTACGTGAAGAGGCAGTAACCGTTTGCATAAATGATTTTCTGATACCGATTCTGGAGCGTGAAGTGCACGAGAGGCTGATGCAAGAGGCGAGGGATTATGTGGTTAAGGTTGGTGCGATATTTGATCATTTCTGTGAAATAATGTGGCGTTGCGATCTGATTCATGCAAAGAGTTCCAAGTTGAATATGTTCATGCTCAATAACAAATTTTTGTGGTGTATATAAGCGAAATGTAAAACTTTTTGTTCTTTTATTTTTCTCTGATAAGTCGAGTCATTTGATTCGTTTCCACATGAATACTAATTGTATGGTATTTTAGCTTTGCAAATCAGGAATTATTTACTGAAAGCTTTCAATGGATAACTTTCAGCAATGCACTCAAAATCTGTACGAGCGTATCAAAACAGCAACTTATCACGTTGATCAAGACTATGAAGATGATTACCATAACGATGACTACGGATCAGGAATACGAATACTGAGTTTGTGTTACCCGGAAGAAAGGTGAGCATTTGCCCTATATATCCATCGATTAGACACTCTTTTCGGTCAGCGATATGTTCATTCTTTTTGAAACGAATTAGTAAAATAATAGGTTCATTGATAAAGTGAATCGTAATGTTCGTTGCCATTATGACCAGTTTTTTCTTTGCAGAGAACAAGCCTCGTTCTGCGCATTGATTGATCAAGAAGGGCAGGTTGTTGATCATCTCCGACTTGTACATATCATGAAAAATAGCAATTCAATGAAACCTGGCGAAGCTGATTTGAAGGTAACAATACTTGAAATTGTTTGTTTATTTGCTCAATAAAAGAAATTTGTCGTATTC